ACATGTTAAGTGTTGATGATTGGACATGCTCCAATGCAAGGCCATCTAAAATGCATGCGTGACTGGGGTGGTGTGGGTTTGGGTTTTTGTGAGAATGATGTAGGGGTGGGTAGGAGCATGGCTTGGGCTCTCGTGTGCCCGCTAAGGCCTATGGTCGGCAATCATGGGGTGCCAGTGCTCGCCCCCTCGTGCGTGCGCCAAGCCCCACACCGCAGCAACGCCCCTATCACCTTTGCGCGCACACCCTGCCCACCAACACATACCCAACGCTAGCACAACTAACAAGTCCATGTTCACACCCTTGTCTACATGGCCACTCCAAAGGCATGCATGCTAGCCACAAAACCCTTTCATAGGTTAACCTCTATGAAAAATCAAAGACATCCAAAACCCTTGGAGGTTAACTCGCACTCCCCTCACTCGCCACCGCACACCCTGCACGCCCCCCGCGCGAGCTCCCCCCTGTCACCCCGCACACCCCCGCGCGGTCACCTCGCACAGCCCCCCGCACACCCCCGCATGCCCCCGTGCGCTCACCCCGCACTCCCCTCGCACACGCCAAGCCCCATCCTATGCTATGTGCGATACATGACCTACCAATAGCATATCAAAAGTGTTGGATTTTACCTCCATAAAAAAAACATCACACCCAATGCCTATGAAGCGTGAGTACATGTATAAAGCCTTGAAGGTTAACAATTCATCACATCAAACATCCGTGGAAAGTAAGATAAGCAAAAGAAAAAATAGTTAAATTTAACGGGTGTCAATCTTTTCTTAGTTCGAAAAAAAAAAAAGTCAACAATAAAAGCATTAAAAATGAACATTCACTTTTCACGTGAATTGGGTTTGATGAACATTCACTTTTCATTAAAAAAAGTCATTCTCTTTTCACAATAAAATGAAGAGTTTTGATACTAGAGCAAGTACATTTCACCAAGACATCCACCATGACCTTGTTTTTACAACCATCACCCATTAATTGTGAAAGTACATGTGGAGTGGTCGGTTTGTTGTATATTTTTTTCTTGGGAGCTAAGCAACATGAAAGAATGATTCCCACAAAATTTCAGATTTTTCTTGACAACTCTAGCTATTTTTTCTAATTTCCTATTATTTAATATTTAAAAATTCATTAAATAAAATTGGTTGGTTGAAAAATTATGAAACTTGATTTATAGATCCATTAGAATGTCCCACTTTTAGGGATAGAAGAGAGGTAGTTTCCTTAAGGATAATTCTGTGATGGGATAGGGGTATCCCCCAAATGCATGAACACAACCATCAAATTTTTATGTTGGGTTAGATTCTTGTGTTTATTTGTTAAAATTTAATTCATAAAGAAAACTATTTATTTATTTTCAAATATTTAATTAAGTTTTACAACTTAGTTTCAATATATATTTCTTAAAATAACGGTTAAAAATAATTAGGAGGGTTTAAGAATAAACAATAAAAAAATAATTACAAATTAAATATATATATTGAATTAAATTTTAAAACGGTTGAGTTCCAAATTTGTAGAGAGATCGGGTGAAAGAAACAAATATGAGATGAGTGTAAACAGTTTTTTTTTTCTTTTCTAAAAATTATTAAATGATTTCTTTAAAAAAATAAAAAATTAAATGATTAAGAAATGCCTAATCAATATGACAATGCATAGTTGAATGGAAGAACCAAGAAGGAATAAGGAATCAGGAAGCTTTGAACCTGATTGCATCAATTTACGCAACTAACGAAGCTTGTGATTCTATCAATTTGAACTTGTGAGTTGAGATAAAAAGTATAAAATTGAAGAAGGAAGCTTTGATTAGTAAACATGTTGTGCAATTCAGTAGAATTGGAGTCGCTTATTACATTCAGATAGCAACAACTGTGGTGAATTACAAACCCATTAAAGCATGGACTCAGCACATTGCTTCGTACAAGTGCATTTATCACCCGAGCAAAATCCGTCATCCCACTTCTCAAAAGAAATGCAAAGTTCAGCACATGTTGCTGTAATGCACGGTCCTATAAATGCATCGCTGTGCTTATAGCATGTCCGCCCCTCTGTCTGCACCACCATCCATCCTGCAATAGTAACACAAACTTATTCATACAAACAAAAACCTTCTTTTTAATACTATCTGTCAATCTAAATCAACATGGAGAAGGAGGAAGGATCAAGTACCAGAAGTAAGGGCTAGGAAGATGAACACCACAATTTTGAGATTTCTCAAGCTTTGTCCCGCCATTCTTTTCTTCTCTTATTCCTTGCTACAATGGAATGTTTGTTTCTTCTCTTATTCCTTACTACAATGGAATGTTTGGATATCAGTTCCCCATTTTATATCTGTGAAACGCCTCATCTTTGTAACGTCTTCTTGATTTCCTTGCGATTTCAAGGAAAGAATAATCACGTTTTGTAACGTCTATACTGGCCGTTCTTGATTTAAAAGGAAGTTGTTTTATTTTATTCTTGTCTAGTCATGCGGTTAACATTGGTCGATGGACGTAAATTATACTATTATTAAAAGTAACCTATTTCTTAAATACAAATTTAAAGCATGAGCATAACCTTCTTAGTATTAATTATCTTTCATAATCGGTATAAAAGGTAGGAATTTAGGTGTACTATTGTTATACCTCTTTTCATATGCCAAAAATTTAAGATGATAAACGCAACGATTAGCATGTAGCATAACCCGGTTTATAAAATCTTGAACTGGAAAGCTTAAGTTTTATACTGTTTGATTCTGGTTTTTGTGATGGTTAAAGATTACCTTTTAATTGGTGGTGTGAAATTCAGTTGTTGATTAGCATAGTCTAAGTCATGAGAATGTTGAACCGTGGGAGGTCTTAAGAGGTTCTTGATTCTTGGCTGAGGTAACTTACTCGCTTCTTGTTCCTTCATGGCCCTAGACTACTCTTCATGGTAGACCATAAAGGTCACTAGCTCGGTGCATACTTAAATATGTCATCCTGCAAATCTTTTTGGTACCCATAACTTCTCTTCTAGGTGAGGGAAACTTGAGGCCAAACATGACATCCTGCAAAGGAAACATGGTGCAGGTCATCCCACCTAGAAGAGGAATTCTTGGGCCTTAGAAAGCACCGCTTGATGCGAGGTCATAGGTCACTTTGGGCATGGTTTGAGTATTGCCTAGCATTCTTGTGCTTTTTAGTTTGGGGACCTTGGTCCCTCGTCCTTGAGTTGTACCTAGCATTCTTCTTACTTGGGTAGTTGTAAAGCTTGTGTGGTGTTGTTCTTGGTCCTCAATCTTGTAAGTTTCTAAGGTTCATAATTTCTTGGGGCATAAGTTGTAACTTTCATTAGTAATCATATGAACCCATCTTAGCGTAAGTTGTTCTAGAAGGTCATAGATTCTTAGGGAGTTCTTTCTACCCATATCCTAACCATATTCTTTTATCAATCTCTCATATCCATAGCACTTCGAGGCATAACCTAACCTTAATGTTTCGTGAATACATCTTACTTCTATCGTTACATTACATTTAGTGCATCCTTCTCGTATCATATATCAAACATATCATTGAACACATCACACCATAAATATTATCATACAATTCACATATTATAGCATAACATAAACATAATATAAGCATATTGATTCACAGATAATTCACACATATTAGTATATATGACACGTGCAGAACCACAGGCACGTGTGAACATCAAATTTAACCATGCCGATAGTAAGGCCGCTTACCTGGTTAACTTAAGTTGTTGTCACGAATATATCCTTAATGAAAGTTCGATTATGTCCTTTGAAATCCGTAAACCTATTTGAGCCCATGACATCAATTTCAAGTTTGAATTCTATAAAATTATTACTTGGGTCTACTCTTATATTTACTTTTTTCTGTATTTAGTTTATGCTTTTTTATTTAATTTATGTTTTAATTACAGAATCTTCCTTTTTTTTTTTATGGGTATTTACTCTGTTGCCTTCTAATTTTGTTCTCATGTATTCCAAATTTATAGTGGATTCCTATTTCCAAATCTTTCCTTATCTTGGTGTTTCCTTTTGTTCACAAATTTTCTTGGTCATTTTATTTTTAATCTATTCATTTGCTACGGATATAAATTTAATCTAATATTACTAATATAACGTGATTTACTAGAATTCGTATAAATGACTAACATTTAGTTTCTAACTCAAAACTAAACGATTATAATAATTTAATGAAAATCTAACTATAATTGACTATGATTTCTTAAAAAAAGACTAAAAAGAAAACGAAGATTTAATATATACCTTATTGTTCAAATCTATCTCCACTTAAATCTCCCATGAATCTCAACTCCATAAAGGCCATTTTCATTTTTTTATAATTATTTTTATTTCTTTATTTCTTTATTTATTTCATTATTTATGATTTTTTTTTTTTTGGCTATTAGAGCAGAGTTCATCTAGTCAGTTATTTTAACGTTTCCTAATTCTCGAGTATTTTGATCGATTTAGGGCCTTAACTCATGGTTCTTTGAGCTTTTCTTTCATATATCCGAAATTCATACTTGTTTTAGGGTTCATATTGGAATCCAAGCGATTCCTACAAGTATTTCTTAACGAAAAAGTGCAAGGTGGCTATTTACCGCGTTGTCGACGTTCGGGACCTCTGTTCATGATCTTCCGATACCTGAATTACCTTCAATTTTCTTCCACAGACTTCTTATTGTGTCTAGTTTCTGGAACCATAAAGATTTTTCTGAGAACCATTCTAGAATAGGGTTAAATTTTAGAAAAATCGAGGGGTCAAGTTTTTGGTTGACATGGCCGGTTCAATTGAACCGGCCATGTCATCGTCTTCTTCCTCCCGATGGGAAGAAGACATGCGTGATCTTTCGCGCCGCCGTCTGAAACTCGCCCTCCCCAGCTCCGATCACGCCGTTTCTCCCCTCGAGTTCTTCATGAAACTTAAAGAGGGTATTACAAGGAAGAGCTATGGATTGATTTCATACCTTTTCGTGGATCGTAGCCTTAGATATTCGCTTCCAAAGTTCGTCCAAAATATAATTTCTCGCTGGAGTAAAAATAAAGGATTTCTTATTGGGTAGCCGATTCTAAGGGTTTTCAAGGCTCGATTTCTTCATGGAACTTCTTCCTTATTCTTTCCTCAAGCTTAAGAAATTGGTTTCGAGGAACAACTTTGAGTGTGGGACCTTAATTTGAGAAATCACTCTCGGTCTGCAAGTTACATGACACCTCCGATTTTCAATCTCTTAGGTATCTTGTTCTTAGACGTTTCAGCTCTTGATTCCTTCATCAAAGTTACTCATCTTTTTCCTCTTAAGCTAAAGGAATCCTTTATTTGAAGGAAAAGAGGTCATAGATAGGAATTCGACACTTACCCACAATTTGAACACGAAACGAATTTTCTTCAATTGGAATCGTTTCTGAGGTTATTTCTCTTCGTGGTCTTCAATGAAAACATTCCTTGAAGGTGCAGAAACTTATTGAGATTGTTCTTGCTCGATGAATTTTGTGTATCCTCTGATTTGAATTTTGAGTTTTCCTTGAAGCTCTTTAATGGCGGATTGGATTGGGGGAATGGTTTCTAGGCACTTTCCGAACCCTATTCCTTCATAGCACTTGTGGGTAATATTGTTTAGAAACTAGAGGAACAAGTTTGAAAGGAAATGGTTGAGAATTGCTCTCAAATTTGGAAGAAACCCGAGAGTAGGAGACCCAAAATCTAAACGCTTATTGCCTACGATTGGGAGCTCTCCCTTGCTTGACTCTTATTCCAAACTATTGCCCCAACTTCAGAATTTATAGGGAAAGCATAAACCGGCATTGGGAGCTCTAGAATCATCGTGAATTATCGGTTGAATTTTCTAGAAAATTGGTCAGAAATATCTACTCCGATCACAGCCTCACCGACTCACCGACTTTGGTTTTGAATTCTAGCTGTTGGATGTGATGATCCATGAGTTTTCTGAATATATTCAAGTATGGGGGAGATTGAACGGCTGAGAGTCGAGATTTGAAGGATTTTGTGTAGAAGTCAAAGTGAAGGATCGGATTTTTAGCAGAATGACAAATCCGTAATTATCCTTAACTTTAGGGGTATTTTGGTAATTTTCCACTTTTCAAATATTTTATTATTATTTTTCCTCCAAAAATCCATAATTTCCATAAAATTCTTCATTTCTTCTAGGTCATTTCTCACTAGCATTTTGAAATTCCCTCAAGATAAGGAATTAAAAATTAAAAATGTTACTTAGAAATTCGATAAACGACCTTTTTATCCTTTTCGCTTACCAAACTTCATTCTACGAAAATTTTTATAAAAGTCTTTTTCTTGATAGTATTTATTTATAAGAATCTTAAGATGAAAAAACAAATGTCAGCCATTTATTATTTTTCATGCTCGGGACAAAAGTAAGACCACCTAATTTCCACGTTCGTTATATGTGATGACATGATGTCTACTTACTAGTAAGACCACCTAATTGTCAGTGCTTGTGGCTGCTTCAGTTACTTGTTGTATAGTGAGTCCATTAAGCATAAGATATTTTAATTTCGCAGTGATTAAGTTATATTAAAAAAAACATTGTTGAGCAAAAAAAAAAAGAAAATTATTTTATATAGCAATGAACAACTCGTATAAAATGGAGTAAATTATATTTTGTATATCAAGTTGCTTAATTCCCAAGCGGCATGTCGAAACTCATATTGAAATCCTAACTTCTGAGGTTTTGGCTCGAGGTCCTACATGGCTCTCTTCAAGCTTGTCTTCGATAATTGTGTCGCATCGTTCTCTCGAACTTTGTGCATGCCTCAACTTAGCTTCAATGCACACTAAGATTTCAAGATCCTTAACTTCTGAGGTTTTGGCTCGAGGTCCTACATGGCTCTCTTCAAGCTTGTATTCGATAATTGTGTCGCATCGTTCTCTCGAACTTTGTGTATGCCTCAACTTAGCTTCAATGCACACTAGGATTTTAAGATCCTAACTTCTGAGGTTTTGGCTCGAGGTCCTACATGGCTCTCTTCAAGCTTGTCTTCGATAATTGTGTCGCATCGTTCTCTCGAACTTTGTGTATGCCTCAACTTAGCTTCAATGTACACTAGGATTTCAAGATCCTAACTTCTGAGGTTTTGGCTCGAGGTCCTACATGGCTCTCTTCAAGCTTGTCTTCGATAATTGTATCGCATCGTTCTCTCGAACTTTGTGTATGCCTCAACTTAGCTTCAATGCACACTCAGATTTCAAGAAGTTTGGATTTAGTTTAGAACCTACAGGTACAACGTAATGACTAAAGGCCTTGAATGGTTAATCTTATGATTTAAGTATTNAGCTCTTTAATGGCGGATTGGATTGGGGGAATGGTTTCTAGGCACTTTCCGAACCCTATTCCTTCATAGCACTTGTGGGTAATATTGTTTAGAAACTAGAGGAACAAGTTTGAAAGGAAATGGTTGAGAATTGCTCTCAAATTTGGAAGAAACCCGAGAGTAGGAGACCCAAAATCTAAACGCTTATTGCCTACGATTGGGAGCTCTCCCTTGCTTGACTCTTATTCCAAACTATTGCCCCAACTTCAGAATTTATAGGGAAAGCATAAACCGGCATTGGGAGCTCTAGAATCATCGTGAATTATCGGTTGAATTTTCTAGAAAATTGGTCAGAAATATCTACTCCGATCACAGCCTCACCGACTCACCGACTTTGGTTTTGAATTCTAGCTGTTGGATGTGATGATCCATGAGTTTTCTGAATATATTCAAGTATGGGGGAGATTGAACGGCTGAGAGTCGAGATTTGAAGGATTTTGTGTAGAAGTCAAAGTGAAGGATCGGATTTTTAGCAGAATGACAAATCCGTAATTATCCTTAACTTTAGGGGTATTTTGGTAATTTTCCACTTTTCAAATATTTTATTATTATTTTTCCTCCAAAAATCCATAATTTCCATAAAATTCTTCATTTCTTCTAGGTCATTTCTCACTAGCATTTTGAAATTCCCTCAAGATAAGGAATTAAAAATTAAAAATGTTACTTAGAAATTCGATAAACGACCTTTTTATCCTTTTCGCTTACCAAACTTCATTCTACGAAAATTTTTATAAAAGTCTTTTTCTTGATAGTATTTATTTATAAGAATCTTAAGATGAAAAAACAAATGTCAGCCATTTATTATTTTTCATGCTCGGGACAAAAGTAAGACCACCTAATTTCCACGTTCGTTATATGTGATGACATGATGTCTACTTACTAGTAAGACCACCTAATTGTCAGTGCTTGTGGCTGCTTCAGTTACTTGTTGTATAGTGAGTCCATTAAGCATAAGATATTTTAATTTCGCAGTGATTAAGTTATATTAAAAAAAACATTGTTGAGCAAAAAAAAANAGTTTAGAACCTACAGGTACAACGTAATGACTAAAGGCCTTGAATGGTTAATCTTATGATTTAAGTATTTAAATGAATCGAAAAGACAACCTTTAGATAAGTTGTAGAAGTTAAGTTGTTAGATTATATGGATTTCTATGTAACAGTCTAGATCTACTGCTAGCAGATTTTGTCCTCTTTGGGCTTTTCCTTTCAGGCTTCCCCTCAAGACTTTAAAACGCGTCTGCTAGGGAAAGGTTTCCACACCCTTATAAATGTTGTTTTTTTCTCCTCCCCAGTCAATGTGAGACATCAGATTCTATTTCTATTGTATTGGAATGAGATCCTCGTTTCATGTCCATCTTTTGCGAAGTTTTAAGTTTTAAGGTGTACAAAAGTTTAGCACAACCTTTTACTCATAGATGGATGACCAAACAAAATGTTTGAACAAGATCTTAGAATATATGCAAAGCGTTTGTATGTTGGATTTTCTTGGTAGTTGGACCTCCAACTTGCCGTTCATGGAATGCTCATATAATAATAGCTATCAGGCAATCATCGACATGGCAAAAAAGGTGCAGAATCTTTGCTTACTAAGATGAGGTAGTAAAACGCAAATTATTAAGCATTCTGTTAGTACAAGTTACGAGTAACGCTATCCAAAAGATTAGGAGAATGATATAAACAACACAAAGTAGATAAAAGAAGAGGTGTTTTGTGGTTTGGTAGAAAGAGTAGCTCATTTCATGTCAAACCATTTGAAATCTAAGAGCAAGTTGGGGTTAGTTACTTATTGCTCGGCGTTGCTCAGCCCTACCACCGTCCCTCTATCTCTCTCTCATACAGCTCTTGCACTGTAGTTCGTCAAGTTGTGCCTCAGCCTTCCACCTCATTAAATTCTCTAACTGCCTTCGATCAAGATACACCATTGTCACTAGACTCGATGAAAGTGTCGAACAGGTAGGAAATAGGTTTTACGAGCCAAATAATCTGCCGGAGTCGAGAAGCTATTGTCGGAGCCGAAGAGAGTCTTGTGCCAGATGCTTACACGTGGTGCAACCAGGAGCAGCTGCGTGTGCTAGCCGAAGTCAGGCCGAGGCGCGGGTTGTCGATTCAAGGCACGGGTTTTTGGGTTGCAATCGCATGTCTGGGTCGATCGTAGTTGGACCTTGGGTTGGGTCAATCGGTCCGCCTATGGTGAGCACCGATTGGCTCATCCCTTCTGTCGGCGATGCGCTCCTGGCCTTAACTGGTCGGGTCGTGCCTCCAGCGCTGTTACTTTGTAGAAATTAGAGTGCTCAAAGCAAGCCTACGCTTTGTATACATTAGCATGGGATAACATCATAGGATTTCGATCCTATTCTGTTGGACTTCGGGATCGGAGTAATGATTAACAGGGACAGTCAGGGGCATTCGTATTTCATAGTCAGAGGTGAAATTCTTGAATTTATGAAAGACGAACAACTGCGAAAGCATTTGCCAAGGATGTTTTCATTAATCAAGAACGAAAGTTAGGGGCTCGAAGATGATCAGATACCGTCCTAGTCTCAACCATAAACGATGTCGACCAGGGATTGGCAGATGTTGCTTTAAGGACTCCGCCAGCACCTTATGAGAAATCAAAGTCTTTGGGTTTCGGGGGGAGTATGGTCGCAAGGC